ATATCACTAGAATACATTGGTATCGAAGGAACTAGATTCTGTTCCGAAATATCACTTACTCGAACCGTCCTGACCGCGTAGCTCAGTTGGAAGAGCATTGGGCTAGTATTCCAAAGGTCGTAGGTTCGAATCCCACCGTGGCCGGGCATATTTTTCAAGCTCGCCCGGTGTGGATATACACTCAGAGTAACACCACAAATATCATATTCACCTGAGTACACTACACCAACACAGAAAAAAAATTCATATTAATAGAATACATTGGTATCGAAGGAGCTAGATTCTGTTCCGAAATATCACTTACTCGAACCGTCCTGACCGCGTGGCTCAGTTGGAGGAGCATTGGGCTGGTATTCCAAAGGTCGTAGGTTCGAATCCCACCGTGGCCGGGCATATTTTTCAAGCTTGCCCGGTGTGGATATACACTCAGAGTAACACCACAAATATCATATTCACCTGAGTACACTACACCAACACAGAAAAAAAAATGATATTGTTGACATCAACAGTTTTAGTGAAATGCAAAAACCTGCTTATAATATTGTTAAGTCTCATTTTGATGATACATCATTCGAGAAAGGGCCATCATGTCTCATTATAAATGGTGTTGCAGGAACTGGTAAAAGTTACCTTATTAATGCTATTAGAAATCTTTTGTAAAGTAAATGTGCTGTTGCTGCTACCACAGGTAAAGCAGCTTTTAACATTAGAGGTGTAACTGTGCATTCTCTATTAAAATTACCTGTAGGATGAAGAGGTAATAAAGACCTAACAGGACAAACCTTGTGTAGGTTACAAGAGAGTGTTAATAACATTGGATACATCATTATTGATGAATACTCTATGCTTGGCCAAGTTACTTCTGGTTGGATAGACAAGCGTTGCAAACAAGCAACTGGTTGTAAACTTTGTAATGACAAAGTATTTGGAGGAAAATCGTTTATTTTAACTGGTGACCCAGGTCAATTGCCACCAGTAGCAGATAAGCCTCTTTACCATGCTAGACCATCAAATGCTGTTGCTGAACATGGTCATCAAGTATATCATATGTTTGACAAAGTTGTTAAACTCACTGTTAATCAACGTGTGCAAGGTATGACGTCTGAGCAAGTACAGTTCAGATATTTGTTATTGCGACTTCGCAAAGGTGACTCAACAGTTGATGACTCGAAGTTACTTCTGACACGTCGACCATCAAATGTCACCAATTTATGTGATTTTGAAGATTCTACTAGACTCTTTTATAGTAATGAACAAGTTGGTAATTACAACCATGAGCAACTAACAAATCTTGAGCATCCAATTGCTCATATTAATACTCGCCATTCATCAGCATTGGCCAAAAAGATATCCTAAGATGATATGTCTGGGTTAGAACCTGTTGTGTTTGTAGCAAAAGGTGCTAGGGTCATGTTAACCATGAATTTGTGGTCAAGCGTTGGCCTCTGCAATGGGGCTACTGGAACAGTTGTTGATATTATCTATCAGAACAACCATCAACCACCTGACTTACCTATTGCAGTAATAGTAGAATTTGAAAACTATAGAGGACCTGTTTTTAATGAAAGCCGACCATTGTGTATCCCACTGTCACATCAAGGACAGAAATAGGTTTCCATGAGAGGCAACAGTTACCTCTTAGGCTTGCTTGGGCTCTGACAATACACAAGAGCCAAGGACCTACACTTCCAAAAGCATGGATAGATATTGGCAAATCTGAACGAACTGCTGGAGTTTCTTATGTTGCTATTAGCAGAGTAAAATCACTTGCATCTCGTGTCATTGAACCAATGACGTATGAACGATTAACAAGCTTAAAATCATCCGCGAACTTACAATATAGGCTTGAAGAAGAAATCAGGCTAGATAAGTTAGCACAGGCTACTAGCAGTGCATTTAGAACAGCAAACTATTGAGTTTCAATAAGAGAGGGATTTCATATATGGATCCCAGTTGTAGTTTGGTATGTACTTTGACTATATACCCTTTTAAATAATTTAATTTATTATATAATAACTAACTTACTCCTTGTTATCACTGTATGTATGAAAATATTATGATTTGCAAGACAGAAGAAGGGTAAGTTTTTTGTTTGTTTAACCCCTCCCCCTGCCCTTCTTTTTTCACTCAGATATGTGCCACTATGTTTCGACATAAATATCTTATGCTACCAAATATTTTTTTCTATAGTTTTGCAATTCTGACGGATGTGAATGGTGCCATGATAACTGCTGGATGAAACCAAGTGGTTGTTACAGCTAAAATATAAATATATATGGAAATATTACTGTACATCTCATGAAAATGGATAGGAGCTTCTGGATTAATAGCCCGCGTGCAGGCCCAAGGGAACTGATAGTGGGCCTGCAAGCAAGGCCCGGTATTTTGTAAAACGCCCCTTTTCATAACACGCCCCATTCGCGCGTCAATTGTCAAAAAAGAACCAATGGCAGCACCCAAATATTAACAAACAAACTCGCATTAAAATGTTGCGGGGTTTTCTCTGCTTATTCAGAACATAAACATTGTGTAAATGGCTGCGTTTTAACTCCAAAAAAGCAAGCAACGCAGTCAGTAATTGCCAAATTTGCAAGTGCTCATCTTCAACTAAAATCGGAACAGGAAAATTAGGACGAATTTCAACAGAAAACCAGTCTCAAACTTCAAATCGTGAGGCAAGTCGTGCGACCACATTAGCATTTATAATGTGTGCTTCGCTGTCGCCATTGTTATAAATAAATTGTCTCACTTAACAGATCGTGTGTCGTATGGATATAACGCTTGTGGGAAATCGCCAGTTGTGAGGGATGATAGCTATTCACGCTGGAAACCTCATTTTTCCTCCATTTCCACTATTTCAAGTAAAGGACTTCCTGCATGTATAAGTGGTTGCTGAAGAATCCTGATGAAAGATTTGAATAATTTGATGCACGCTCCTTTATCCAGTTTCTTGACGAGGGGCTTTTACCAGCAATGAATCCACTTAATGGTGATTTTTTCATCATTGCGGCTATTTCGCTCATTTCTTTCACAAATATCGTTAAATTATGTTGTTTAAACTGCGAACAAGTGAAAATTAGTGAATTCTGTCGATCAGTAGAATTCATTGCCTCATGGCCGCCATTTCAACAAGAATGAAAAATACCCAAGCATTCCTAAACATTCCATTCTGCTTCCTTCAAAATGGCTGGAAGAAGCTTTCCCTGATATTTCAAGTCATTCAAGCTTCGAAATTAGTTAAATCAGAACAGAGTACCCAATTATTATAACGCCGATGCATACCGGACTTGCATGGATCGAAAGTTTCGCCAAAACCGAGGCAAAAATAAACGTATATGCACAAAACGAAACAAAACAACACAATTATGTTATGTTGTCTTGACTCGATCTAACTCTCTGATTGATAAGGATTGTAAAGTATACTTTGACTATATTTTTTATTGTTGTTGTTCATTGCCAGAGAAGCTGGCTTATTTATATTACATAAAACAGGAAGTAACTAACCGGATATGAATATACAACATCCTCTTTTCTTTAAGATATTTTTACAAGTTTTCTTTTTTTTACATAAAAATTATATTTAGTATTATTTATATATCTCTAGATTGTTTATCTTGAGATTGTTTTTATCAAATGTTCTAATTTAAAATTCTAACTAATGGTATTCGTATTAATGCATAAATCTTACCGATCGTGTTCTTATTTACGACTGTTCGATACTAACTACTTATACATTGGGACTGTTCGATACTATCTACTTATACATTAGCCTGTCCGGCTTTTTAATTATACGACCTGAGCGTGTTCGAACTTCTGGTCGATCAGGTATCTCAACATTTCTCTTTTCACTTTGGTTATCTTTCACAGCTGCAGGACTTGTTGGTCCAGGTGTCTTCTGGATATCAGGCTTGATTAACTGTCTATTCCTCCGTATTTGAACTCCGGATTCATCTTCCGTAATATAGGAACGAGGAGTTGGTCCGAACCCAACTACTCTCGCTGGACTCCATGTTTTTTAATAGGGTCTTGAACTTGTACAGCTTGATTTTGAAAGAGATTTGGCTTCTCTTTCGAATCCCTGTTATATAGATTGACTTGTTTCTTTTGTTGTGTTAATAACAAGTCTCTGGTTTCGTGCCAATCGTTTGTTGGATGAATCTTTACTGGTAATGTTGCCTTGAACATTCTTCCATTTAGTAGCTCTGCTGGAGATTTGAGTGTTGCACTTAACGGTGTAGAACGTAACGACAGCAATGCAAGACTAGGATCAGTTCCTGATTCTTTGCATTTCAACAGGATTTTCTTCACAGTTTGGACCTGTCTCTCAATGACCCTTTGGGTAGTACGGTGACGAAGTCACCACTCTGAAACCATATCTCTTCGCTAGGTCTTGAAATTGGGAGAAGTGAATTGGGTTCCATTATCACAAATCAGGGTTTCTGGTATGCCTTGCTCAGAAAATATTGATCTAACCACATTAACTACAGTGGTTGCTGTTAGATTATTCAATTTCTTCACTAATGGAAACTTCGAATAATAGTCAGCGATAACTATGTACCAGAAATTATTTACCTTGAAGAAGTCTGCCCTCACAGTGTGCCATGGTCTTGGCGGTACTTCACTTGGAATCATGGGCTCCTTCTGCTGAGAATTCTGGAATTTCTTGCAGGCACAACAGGACGCCACCATACTCTCAACCCCTTTATATATACCAGGCCAATAGACACAGGATTTTGCGCGGAGTTTGCACTTCTCCATCCCTTGATGACCACTGTGGATTTCTTGCAATATCTTCTGCCAGAGTGATTTTGGAACAATTATTCTACTTCCTAGTAGAACTCCTAGTAGAACTCCTTCTTGAATAGAGATGTCATCTCGGTTATTCCAGTAAGGCTTTATTGCTTGCTGAGTTTTCTTTATGCTATCAGGCCACCCTTGCATAACTTGCTCGGTGAGGATTTGAAGAGTTCCATCTTTAGCAGTTTCGTCTTTTATCTGTTGGAGTTCGACAGGTGAGAACTCCACTAGATGATGAATTTTCATTTGCATTCTAGGGATTTCGTCTCCCTCCTTTGGTGACAGTCTCGAAAGTGTATCTGCTATCACCATCTCTTTGCCTGGCTTATATTTGATGATACAATCGTATGGTT